TTACTGAGATATGCCATGTGACATAAAAGATGTTACAGATTACAATCAGTACCTATCACTTTCACTTGGTTCAAATTAAGGTGTATTCAACATAAATCAGTAATTTCTTTAACGCTTGTCCGGAAAATAGTCATTTAAGGCCTTAATTATATATGGTATTGTCATGAAAACGTGTATAATGTTAGAAAATTTGAAATTTTGCTTTTATTATTGCAAAAAATGATGAAACAAAAATTGAGAAGAAACAAAGCCGAGTAGGGCACAGCTGTCAGTTTCTGTAAGCTCTTTTGCAGTCAGCCTCATTAATGTTTGATGAGCTGCAATAGTAGTTGACATTACTGCAGTGTAATTATTAATGGTGTAGCTTTTCAGTTAATGAACTAAACGCATTTAACTTTTGCATTTTATCAAACAATCAGCTGTCATTGATTGGTCCTTCCTTTACCCGTGTTCTTATGCATAGCTAATTGGTATAGGATTACCAGCAAATAGACAAAGACAGCTGATTACTAGTTTGATTGTTATTTCTAGCCTTAATTACTGCACTGCACACCAGGCATAGACTACTGCTAATTGAATATAGTGTTCCGGTTTGCGGTTTCCGCATACATATGAGGTTTTTAAATCACTAATTTGGAACATTTTTAATAATCATTAACAAAGAACCAGACCTAAAACTTTGATGATGTTTGAACACCGAATTTGAGAAGTAGGGTAAAATGTTCCAACTCAACACATATTGTTAGCCCTCAGTTGCAGATGTCCACTTGAATACCTGCTGCCAATACAGTTAGTAGTGTAGTTCAATTTGAGCTGAATACACTACTTATAACGTAAAAACCTTTTATAATCAGCTTTTAGCGAATTTCCCATATAGGGAATAAGCTATTACCGTAGGTCTCATGGTAAGACCTAGACCCGGGACCGATTTACTTTTTCGTTTTGAGGTCCCCAGAGGTCAAAAACACCATCCGTTCAAATTCATATATATATATATATATTTATATATGTGTCCGTTAGCGCGGTAACTCGAGCAAAATTGATCCGATTTTGATGAAATTTGGTACAAACGTGTAAACCTACATTTATTCGAACGAGTTCGCGAACCAGCATAATCGGACCATGGGATCAGGGGTTTATGGGGGGTTTTATGGGGTAAAAATGGGTTTTTCTCATTTTTGACCCTAAAAACTTCAAATTTCTAAATTTCTCTCTAGACCATTTTGAAGAGCTTAAAAAAACAAATAATTTAGTATATTGAAGTGTTTTTGAATGTTCATTGACTACGGAGAAAATTAAAAAAAATTGTAAATTTAAAATTCCCATGTTATTCTTATGGAGAATAAATAAACTGTTGTAGTTTGCTTGTTTATGGATATATTTGAATCAAATTTGGCAATTTGGTTTATTTCATACTAAACTATCAATATTTCAATTGAAAAAACACACCTCAACATCTTCCCCGTAGCAGCAAACCTAACTACTCACTAAAATTAATGTTATTTAAATAGGAAATAAATCTGAAAATGTATAGGGAATATTTTAAAAGAAATCAAGCCGGGTAAATGGAAATTCGCTTAGTATGCAGGTTTGCTGCGACGGGGGTATTTTATTTTAAATATATCATCATAATTGAAGATTTGGTTTAAGACGTGAATTTGTTATTTACTTGTCAAACATTGTGTATGCTATATTAGAACCTCTATTTAAATGTTTTAAAGTAGTATATTCTCATAAATGTATAGTTTATTTTATATTTGAAGGGCACTTACATTTCCTACTTCACTTTGCACACCATAAATAGGTCTAGACTTCTTATAGCCTAGGCCGTATTGTAAAATCTTAAACCAGTTTTGTTTCTTATGGTATCAACATTTGAGTGCGCCGACTTTTACTAGATGTATTTCTGTTGTTTTAGGCTGCATTATTAACATTTTGCGATTTACTGTTATAGTGATAAGTTTATAAATGGATTGTTAAATTTGGTTTGAACAGTTCCAATAATTAACACGAAGAAACCGTAAAAAAATGTCATCTGCATAAAACAGACAAAAATGACCTTAAGATTATTTTTTAGGTATACAAACTTACAGGGATTTTAAATCTACAATGAAAAATGAATGAATTAAATTATCAAAAGTTAAGTCCTTCCGGGAATGTGTAGAAAATATATAGTTGTTGTCCTACTATTTTTTTTTTTTTGCTACACAGCAAATTTAATCTAATAGTTCAATTTTATTGGCCTATTTTAAACAAAAGTTTTGTCATCTGGTGTTCCATACAAAGTGTAAAACAAATTGTAAAATGTTGCATAAAATAAAATATGTATATCTAAACAGACATCAGCAAACTGAATCAAGGGCATACCCAGGATCGAAACTAGGGGGGAGGGCAAGAGTGTACTTGAAACCTAGTGGCATGAAACCCCTAGTGGAGTCACTAGGTGTGGCCCACCAGGGGGGGCCTGGGAGGCCCAGTTAGGAGGGGGGTCCGGGGGTTCCCAACCCCCTCACGGAAAATTGTTATAAACAATATGCTGATAATAGTGTTTTTACGCTATTTTGAGACATTAATAACAAACCTAGCTCGATAATCCAGTGATATAAAGTCATAGTTTATAAAGTGGCTTTATGTCTGTCAATGGGGACAGGTCATGTTGCTTATCTTTACAATACACATTTAACTGTATTTTTTGTGTCCATGCCAACTTTTCACATCCATTTATAACCCCAGAAATGTAGCCGTAGAGCAATTTTCTTCGTTACATTATTGTTGAAGGCAGATGAAAAAAGAAAACAAAATAATGTCACAAAAATTCTAAAAATAAGTTTATATTTGTTCATTATACTACACAAAGTTGTTAGTTTATACATATTGCAAGAAATTGGTCTGTTTATTACTACTTTTGGAATTTTTATTTTATTAAAGAAATAACTTAGAAACTAATGAAAAAATATTGTTAAAAAATCTGTTAACTATCTTACTCATCTTTTCTCGTACTAATAAAATTGTTCTTGAATCTCAATTTTTTATACCTTATCCTGGCTTCTGATCGTCTCTGGGTACGCCCATGAACTGAATCGCCTACGTGAAACGCACATAAAAACATATTTTCAATAGCATAAGAATCCTCACACTATAATAATAATCATATAAAATATTAGATTTTTTTTTCTTAGGGAGAGGAGGGAAAATGCTTTTACGCACACAGGTAGCCAGCCTGTAGTGTGAGACTCCTGAAAATTATCAGACTACTCACTAAAAAACCCCCTCTACTCTGTTGGACACAGACCTGGAATTCAACAGAGTAGAGGGGGTTTTAGCATATAAAATATTAGATTAAACTCGATTAAATTTTAATCTAGGTACTTAAAGTAATATATTTTTATAATATATTGTGAAATTATCAAACAAAAACAATGACAAAAATATTGCAATAAAGAATTGACACTTTTCAAAGCTTTTACATCTACTACAGATATTTTTCATGCAAGTATCAACAAACAAAAGGGTAATCAAACAAGTGTTGTCAAAACCACCTGTGTCAATTAGTAATTCCACTTGTGTTGCTATCATATTGAAGTGGATCATGAAGGCTGTTCATATTGTTGTGTTTTTATGCTCACTGTATCTGATATTTTTGTTCTTCATTTTCAACAGGCCAGAAGCCTTGGTGTCATGTGGATTGTTGTGGCTTGTCTACTACTTGCTGATGTATCGGTGGGACAAAGATATTAGGAGATATTCAGGATTCCCAATCGAAATGTGAATATGAGCTCTTGTGCGGTGGCGGTAGTACCTCCTGATACTTTGTTGGAACAAGAGAAAAAACTGCATCACTGTTAGAACTTTGAAAATTAACTGTTGTGTTGTGTTCTACCTCTTCATGCACGGTTAGTGCTGTATCAACTTCTCATGCAACGAAGGAAAAGAAGCTAACAAATGAATAAGAATTGTATTTGTACTTGTGCACTATTTTCTGATCATTTGCTGGAGTGGAAATAATCACCAATAAGCCATGGATATAAACTGTTGTGGGCTAGTGTAGTGTATCTATTTTTTTTTTTTTTTTTTTTTGCAAACAGAATCAGATGTTTGTGAATGAGGTAATTAGGATACAAATCATAGTGATTAAGTTCGGTAAATAATAACCTGTGATCATACCAAATAGCCTAAATGGTTTTGTAGTTTTACTAGTGACGATTCTAAAACCATTTATGTTGTTAGGTTAGGTAATGAACTACTGTATATGACTATGCAGCTAGTTTACTTTTGTTATTGTTAATGATTTTTTTGTATGAATAAAAATCTTTTATTTTTATTAAATTTTCTCTTAGTTTAGCATTAAAAGAATTATGACTATTTTCTGTTTCTTGTTTTTAAATATTTCTAGTTCACCGGTTTTTTAAATATCCCCGTTGAAGAAAAGCTGCAGATTAAGGGAACATTTGTGTGGTTGGATTTTTACTCAAATACTTCCGGGAACTAGATTTATTTCCTACTGGCAGAATACGCGGGGCTTGGTTGACTTGTAAGCGAATAACGTGCTTACTGCAATTATACTCGTGCTTTGAGTTTATAACGAAAAAAAATTTGCTGAATGAAATAGTAAGGCATCTACCACTCATTTTATAAATAAAATTCTATTGTAAAGTTTATTTTATTTTATAAATTGGGCTAATGCAAAAGAAAATCATTAGTCAGGAATCAAGGTACTGCCGTGCCACCTATGTTAACACCTTATTCACTATAAGGAAATTTGCTAAAAAGTTGTTTTTAAAATCAAATGTGGTCTTGACATTTATCCATCTTGTTATATAGAGAGAACTGGATTATTTTGTAGTATTTATTAAATTTATCTTCTCTATTCTACATCAAAGTAATAAATATCAAGAATAGCATCTTAGAAAGAGCCTTCCATGAAATCAATAGGAGTGATAAACTTACAGACTACCGGTACTAGAAATATTAAAAAGCCATGGAAACTATGTCAATAACTTGAACAATAAAATAACAAAGAATAATTTAAATTATAGTTTTGGAGAGGAACAGCAAATCAGAATTTGTCATGTAAGTCAAAAAGGTAGGTATGCAGTATGCAGGTTTGCCTTTTATATAAGTAGGGTCTATAGCCCTAGTTACAGTAAAACTATTTGATTTTATCTCCAACCATTTTTTTTTATAAATCTAGATTTCATGTGAACATATTATTGTTTAAACAGCATGTATTTTGATCAGCGTGAAATGGCTTCCTGGTACCTCTATTTCCAAACATATAAATGAATTTTCTGAATTGTCATATAAACATTAACAAATTGTCAGCATTGTGAAATAGGTTCTTATTCATCAAATGATGTACCGGACTGCTTGGCAATCAGTCTTTAAACCCGCAAAACAATTTCATTTATGGGTCATGGATCACTTCACTTTCTCAATAATTCGTCAGATATTCTCTGCAGTGTTCATTGCTGAAACTTTTCAAATTGAATTGCTTTCTTTTGAAACTCGATAAGTGTTTAAAATCTCAATCCACAGATCTTTCCAGCTTTTTTCATCCCTTAATTTTGCTAAGCATGTTCGTTAATATTTGGTATAAACCACAATACAGTATTTTCATATTTTGTTACCTGAAATAAGGTATTTTCCAACCGACTGTTATTTTATTTTCTAAATTATTGGTCGCTTTCACGTAATTTTTTAAACTACCTAATACTTTTAATGTGGGCCCATATGAATAGGTTGGAATGTATTTCTTAGTTTGTTTCCAGTGTAATAGCAATTAGACAGTCAAGTTTTCTATTTTTTCAGCACTAAAAGTGAACAAGAAAACTGCTGTCCACCAGTATAATAATGTATCTATGATGGTAAGTTAGGTCATAACTTCTTGTTTTGATATAAAGCATATAAATTTAAAATTTTACTCATACACGAATTGTTTATGGTTTAACCGATTTACTATTGCTACTGTCCCAGCAATACTGGCATGAAATACTAAAACTTCTTCCAAGCTCTAACCTCTGCTCATGAGTATAGATTGCCATGAAACCTCACCATGGTACTGGGGCTCCTTGAGAGTGAGGACCGTGGGAGTCACGTGAGAGTCATTACTTTGCAAAAATCTTCCATTCCAAGCATGTCAACGTAAACATTTTGTGACTTGTAATATTTATTATTATTATTACTTTATTTGAAATTGAATCCATTTTAACAATAAAAGTCTGATTATTAATGTAGAATTTTTTGTACAAAAACAAAATTAAATTATTGATAAATTATTTACTTTCTTGCATTACTTTCTTTATTTTACTTACTACTGAAAACATTATCATCATATCTATATAAAGAATTCTGAAATGTCTGTGTAACAAATTGCCTATTCTTGCATTTTAAACACTGAAATAACAATTACATTATCAATATTTTGGGATACCCCCGACCCCTCCCATTGGGTAAGTTAAGTTTGTGGCATTTCATATTGGATAATCCATGCCCCTCAAATAATTGACCTATAACTTTACATGTGTATTTGGACAACGCCCTCACAAAAAAAATGTAAGGCTAGGACCACTCTGGTACAACAAATACTTTAATCTTCCTTAAGTAAACTTATTATGCAAAACCCAAAAAACTGTTTCAGAAATTAATGTCAGGACGAGGCCAGGATGAATGAAGCTGACGTTTTCTTGTTCATGCTGTTTATTTCATTCTTTGTCATGCTTCTGAATGGGAAAATCAACATGACACCAATTCTTATATTGCTTGTGATTACCATGGTATACATCCTGATTGCCAAACTTTAGTGAGAGATGACAAATTTTACTAGCGATTCGAAAGCTATACACAACATGTGAATAAAATCTTATTTTTACAGTAGATTGATCTTTTTATTTCAATAGTTAGAAAGACCTACCAATATAATTGACAAAAGAGCACTGCTCAGAAGCAAACCAGCAACCTTTAGATTTAAAAGCGAGCACTATTACCTCTTGGTTACCTAGACAATTTCCAGGTACTGAATGTGATTACTGTATAAGTGAAAATATTTTGTATTATGGACTTGTATTTATATAAAATATTCAATAACGGGGTTTCACTTAAATCCTGCTAGTGTACTGCTAAAGTGAAATTTGTTCTTTACAATATTTTTTCCTTTTTTTATTTTTTTCCATCATGTGTCTTTTTGTATCCCTTTACAGAGAGGGTGATTTTATCTTTCACAACACACGTTATAGACATGTTTTCTTATATGTAGTGATATAGTGTATATTGTGCTGGGTTCATAAATGATTGAGTACGCTAGTTAAATAAATAAATGATTGAGTTTTCGAGGTAGTGCTAGAGTGTGCTCTTGTTATCTTAAACCTCTCTCTCACTCAATGATTTTCAAGGAGACTTGATGAGAAAACTCTTTGTAGGAATAAGTACATTTTATTGCAAGAACCAAAACTGGCATTTTCCTTTGTGGGCCCAAATTTCACATGCAAAGCGAAGCCAAGCATGTCAGAGCATGTTTTACACATAAGGAAAAGCTGGGGACGGGAATAAGAAAATCACTTTCGGTGCAAGTTATGATAAACAACGCTTTTTCATCACAACGCAAAATTAAAACTAAAACTTAAAAAATTTAAAACTATTATCACTCTCAGTTTACATTATGATTATATCCTAATATAAAAATAAAATAAAAGGGGTTACAGCAAGCCTACTTAACAGCGTAAGAATTACAAGGGCAGTTTTTGTTAAACTAAGGGCTGGTTTTGTGTATAAATCCATAGTTTGCTTTTACGCAGCAATAAGGCTCATAACCATTTACTGCAGACACCATTTTTGAACAGAATGACACAAATTTCAGCTATGTAGCTGCTATGTATTTCATTTTTAAGCTATTACAGTGGATAAGCATAAGAACCACTTAGTGCTTTCATACTAGAATTTTTACAAACAAATAAATAGCTTGATCAACTCCGCGCATTAAAGAGATTACACCTATTACACACATTGAAATTATAAAATCTTCCAATAAGCACACAAATAAGGAATTAAACCCCCAAATTTGAACAAATTAATGTAGAATGTGTGAGAGAATGTAGCTATATTACTAGCACCAGCTGACTCTTTCGCCAGGATTAATTAAACAACAAAACGTTAAAAGAGTGTATTTTCAAACATATTGACAGTCATGATAGTTTGTTTAGATATTCAACGAGGTCCATTGTTCCATAGACGGGAAGAGGCAGTCGTCGTCGAATAAATAACACATAGAGACACAGTAGTACACCATTTATTACTATCAACAGCCAGTCTTTGATGAGAATGTAGAGCAGAAGGAATGTGGCGAGAACTGTAAGTACGATGATGTCTGCAGCCCTCGTGTGTTGGGGCCGCTGACTTTGAGGTTTATCTTTGGCAATTTCTTCGGCTGCTTCATCCTTTGCAGGCTCTTTTTCGGTTTTGATATCAGGCTTCATGTCTAAAATAATTTTTAGATTAATAACAGCAGTAAACATTTTTTTTACTTGTTCATCCAGTGGCATTTTGTATGATTTTAATTGTTAAGGTAAAGCAGTACCAGTACGTACCTTCAAACTTTTGTAGACATGCCAGGACCTAGCCCGTTCCTCCACCAAGATCCAAAACGCTAACTAAAGCTAGCAAAGTATCCATAACAATTGGATCCATATTGTTGAATTAATTAAGGAACGAAAAAATGTTGCATATTTAAATGTAGGCTACCTACATATATCAGTGATGAATGGAGTGACATGCCTTGTAGGTTTGTTACCGACTAAGATCAGCTGTTTCTTTAGCCACGACTATTTATTAAAGTCTTATGATAAAGGAAAGTTGTTTTAAATTATCAAAAAGACACGCACTATCTACTTTTCTCACGATCTCGATACAAATCGCAAATCTGAATATAAATGTTATAAAAGTTGATGCGTTAAAAAAAGATATTGACATCTATACAAATTTACTCTATTGTTACCGTACGTATGAGTCAACAAGACTGCCGACCATCTTTGATTTTCTACCTATTACGGCAATGTTAGTGGTTGAAGCGTATTACGAGTATATTAAGATTAAAAGTTGCATAATACCTCATTTTAAAGCTACTGAAACCTTGGATGTGACTTGCTATATCTACTTTTTTAAATTATTTATTATTATTTCGTCAAACTAAATAAATATATTGGATTAAACTGTGATTTTTTTCAACATTTAAAACAAAAGTTTTAAAAATCTGAAAAACAATTCACACAAAAAATATATTTAAAAATCACATAAAATTTTCTATTTGGTAATTAAGCTGCATGAATAGGTAATATGCTTCAAGGTGAACAAATTTTTTTGCTGATCGGCGCTCGGACAACCACTGTTTCGCCTGGCATCTGACAGTCAATGCAAAATTATTGACTCCTGCCGACTCATAAATCATTTGATGACTGATTTGACTTCAACCTAACTTCTAACCTAACCTAACCTAGCCTAACCTCAGAATTTATGTTCCAAAACAAACTATTCTAAGTATTTGAGTCATAAAAAAAAATTAAAGCAAACTGTTGCCCTAATCATGTTCAATCATTTTGTAGCAAACAAAATGATTTTCTTTCAGTTCTACAGCAAGTAGAACTGAAAGAACACAAAAAACATCTAAGAAAACATTAAAAGATGTTTTTCTTACATATAACGTCATGAAAGAAATTGTAAGACAGTATAAAGCCTTCCAACGAGGCAAATATAAAATGATGTAGCACTATAAGTTTAAAACGCTTAGAGAGAATACTGGCACACTGGTGTGGATTGTGAATACTGACTTGAGATTGGGAAATAGGATTAATTTACATGACATTCAAATGACATGCTTTAATTGTACCTTAAGAGCGATAAATAGTTTTTCTATTGTAATGTTATTTTTATCCAAATATTTATGGGTCTCTAAAACCAAGAAACATATTTTCAAATAAGAATATTAGCAAACAAATTAAGTAAATACTAGGTGAAACCCATCAAAATCAGCGGTTGCTGTTGAGGTTTCAAATCAAATCATTGAAATAACGGCCAACAAAAACCAATAAAAATTGTTTTTTATTGTTTTGTTAATCAATAACAAATAACTCCATTTTTAGAACGATTTGGGTTGTTTGTAATTCAGTAGCACGCTTAAGGTACGTCCGATCTATATAATCAATAAATCAAATGGAAGCTGGTATTTCACTAAAGGTTCTTAGATCAAAACATGTAAGTTAACGCAATTAGATTTGAGTAAATATAACTAAAATGATTTCTATATCTGAATCAAATGTATGTTTTTTGATTGAGTAATAAGCATCTTGAACTTAACTGATTCAAATGATCAATATATCTCAAATTAAAGCTTTTATTTCTAGAAATATTTTAAGACCAAGACATATAAGATAACTGAAATAAAAATGGAGATACGTATCATTGATTGCAGATAAGTCCTAAAATAATTATAATTATTGTTTATTCTTGATTCAGCCGCGTGCTCTAGGTACGTCGGATCTTAATAATCAATATCTCAAATGAAAGCTTGTATTTCACTGAAGGTTCTTATACCAAAACATATAGGACAATGCAATTAGAACTGGTGAAATACATCTATAATAATTGGAGTAAGAATTAAAAAAAAAATCAAATTTATGTTTTTTGGTCGACTCTTAGATAAATAAATGATGATGCTTGATGGCAAATCTGTGCATGCATACCTTTAATTAAGGGCCAAAACTATGAAAATGGGTCAGGTAGAAGAACCAAACAAACTCCAAAAAGAAAAACCTAATTTAACTCCCAAAAGAAATATTCAAGTAGAAAGTTGCTTTTGTCCATAACTAGAAATACACGTCAGATAAATGAATGCCGATGCTTGATGGTAAATCTGTGTGTGCATACCTTTAATTTAAGACCAAAATTATAAAAATCGGTCGGGTAGAATAGCCTACCCGACTCGGAAAAGATAAAACCAATATTTTTTAATATATAGATTTTACAATTTTTACACTTTTTCCTAAAGTTGTAAGATATTTAGTGTCCCAGTTTAATTTGCCCCCTAATTTTAAAATATCAGCCGATGCAATAAACCTGCACACCAAGCGAATTCCCAATGGCCTGATTGAATTTTTATTCAAATAATTCCTTAAATGTCAGATTCATTCCCTTTCTAAATAGCATCAGTTTAAACGATTAATAAGGTTTTCTGCAACAGGGAAGGGATAAAGTGTGTTTTTTTTTTTTTTTAGATTTAATTAATAAATTTGCCAAATTTTATCAGAATATTCATAAACGAGCAAACCACAACAGTTTACTTGTTCTCCATAAGAATATTGTGGGAATCTTAATTAATTGTTTATTTATTTTTTTTTAACTCTAATAAATAGTTTAGAAATGTAATATCATAGATAAAACATACTCCCTCCTAATATCATAGTAGATTTCCCATCGTTATGGAACAGCTGAAGCCAATTTTATTGTTAGTTCTGTCTGGTGTACTGTTAGTAGATGGCGTGTTTTGTTTACAATTTGTTTCTATTATTTTACAAGTCATTGTTTATGATTAGATAGTTTTATTTGGTTAAACGAGGTGTTAAATTACTGAAATAGCAAGAATCTAATTGTAAACAAAACACAGCTCTACAGAACACCGGACAGAACTAACAGTAAAATTGGCTTCAGCTGGTCCATAAGGATGGGAAATCTACTAAGGGAGTATGTTTTATTTATGGTAATATTTTATGTTTTATAATTTGAGTTTTTGAGGGAAACCCATTTTTACTTAATAAAACTGATCCCATAGTCACATCACACTGGTTATCAAACTTTATCGTGCTAACTGACACACACACAAATATGTACAT